TTCTTGTAGTGCCTTTGCTTGATAATATATTGCTTTAAAGTGAATGACCGTATTAAAGTTGGTTAAATTTAATTCAAGGTTATAGACGCTGTCGTCAGTGAATAAGGCCATTGGGAAAATAATCACATAATGCGATAGTGTACGACTGCATGCACAAGTTATGGGAGTTATGCGGCTTGAAGTTCTATCTTGAATTTTAATATGGTAACAGCGCGGGAAGAACTTGTGTGTTTGGATAGCTGATAATTTTATTGATGGATAGAAGGAAATAATAACATCAATGTTATGTCGTCGAAAAACGCTAAAGCTAATAAAAACGGTGCGCTATTGTCATATCTACTACTAGTATATGTATATAATATCATTGGTACACAGCTCATAAAATATTACAAAATATAATTTATAAAAAGATCTAATTACATTATAAAAAGAATTAGACTTAAAGGTACTTAAAACAAAGAATTTAAGATAATTGTAGTACATAAATAACGCACATAAATAATTTTCTTGTCGAATATAGTAAAATAAAGCAATTTTACGGCTTTCGTCATAGATGATCTGAATGTCTTTAAAATAGGTAGTTTTATATCACAATGTTTAGAATAAAAAAGGAAAGTATATTAATCTTAACTAACAAATTCAAGCCAATTGTTGAAAAATATAATAATTGTCTCCTCTAAAGTAAAGTAAAAGTAATAGCATATACATGTCCAACTGCTGAGCAAAGGCCTCCTCTGTACAGAGGGTAGCAGGGTATAGTCCACCACGCGGCCCCACTGCGGATTGGCGGACTTCACATATTTTAGAAATACTTTTTTTTATTATTATTTCGAAAATATGCAGGTTTCCTCACGATGTTAATATAGCACTTGGTAAGTCAGCATTTAAAATTAACAATTTCGATCGGGATCGAACTCAGGTTGCTCGAGTATACTGAGTTTAAGATGAGCACCCTAACACTGAGCTATCACGGCCATGATTCAAGGCTCCTGTAGCAAAATATAATTATTTCATATTCGACACGAGAACTAAGTTCGTTTTACATTGTAAACGGTAACGTCTTAAAACCTACTTCCTTAAACAGTTACCAAGCTTATTCATTTGCGTTTAAATTCACACCAACCCATTGTTTCATTTCTTTGCGTTGTGAACTTCCATTTCTGCGATAAAATCAGTCTTGAGTCTTGAAAACTTTCTTTTAATCTGTATTTCGGTAAATTAGTGATTCGATGAACTTATTAAGTATTATGACTTAGAATTTATAACTGAACAATTTTTATTGTTATCACAAAACACAATGCAGTACATTTTTGCGCCTATTCGATGCCACGTATAATGATATATTTCAAATACAAAAATTGGGTCTTTTATTTCTAATGAATGGTAGTAAAATAGAGATTGTTTCTAATACTTCAGAAGTATTACTTTTAATAATGATTTATTGCTGAATAAGTTAGAAAGCAAGCACATAAGCTTACAAATGATGTAGTATTAAATGAAACTTGTCCGGATCGTTCGAAACTGCATTTCTCCATCCAACTCGTGGAGACTAGCCTTTTCGACGGGTTTGATATTGGATAGTACCTACTATTTATTCAAGATTCAAGAGAGAAGATTGAAGATTTGGTATATAGTCTCCGTATTAAAGCAGATAATATTATTTATAATATTATTCAGATAATATAAGAAGAAGACAAGAAGACTGCATTTCAAAGTAATAGCCGTTTCCAAACAAGCTAAACGGGCCTATTGTTTCGAAATATTTTACGGAGGCAGTAAAGGAGCCGCAAATTAAAAGTGTTTTTACGGTGAATCGAAGAGGAATGGCGCGCCTTGTTATGTTGGCGTGTGGTAAGAACTAGAGGCAGCCTTTCACATGGATGCCAAAAGCTGTTTAGTCGTCCCGTCCACGGGACATTGCGAACTTGACTGCGCGCGAGGTTATGCGACGTCTTGTCATTAGTGTTCCTTAAGCAGCGATCTACTGGAGCTGACATTATGTATGCCACTGCCAATAAGGCCGAATGTAATAAAATTTGCAATTGAACTCTTTCACTAGTTGAATTCAAAAGGTATTTAATTCTACTCAGTATAATAGTTAGTTTCCTTTTTTTTAATAGATGCACGGGCGAAACTGGTCCGCGTTACTATCATAAGTCCGCGCCATAATAGATTAAACGAGCTTAGTTTTCACCATTTCATCGAGTGGTCATGTCAGCTTTTAAAATTCTTAATGCAACGTGAACTTATAAATGGCAAAAAATTTACATTGCAAAAACAAAGAATAAACGAGCTCTCTTGCTTTTTAATTTGAATAGAGTGAAATGGGATCAACGTTTTACCGATTTTTATCCTAAGTTGCCGTGTGATGCCAAATCACAAACAGTGATTTTTGCAACTTTAAAGAACGGTACACACCACTGGGATTTGTACCCACAACCATAATTCTTCTTCGCACATTTTTAACAAAACCTTATTATAATGTAGGGCGTGCACACTCCTTATTGTTAGTCATACTTAAATTGACATTATTTTTCTTCTGGCATAAGTTTGTGATATTATTTTAAAGTCTATATAATATTTAAAATATAAATTTTGTATGTTATATGTATAGGTAAAATATAACAATAAGATGACGAGTAATATGTTAAATCGAAAATAAAGCACAAAAGAATAATAAAATCGGAATACGAAAATATATTTGTATTAACAACCTGTTACACTATTGTGTCGGGTTCGCGGAACGTACGTGATTGCACCTAATGCTGTAACGAACGCCTCGGGAATACCAACAGCTGTCTTTGGTACATAAGCCGAGTACTAACAAGTGGGTTAATAGTTTTAATCGAAACAGCGCTGTTAATTCACATTGTTAACCGTTTTGTACAACGGTTACGCGTCTAACAGTAAAAACGATTTCTTCCAACGCCACTCACATATTCTGTGGTCGCAATTATGAGGTTCCGATGAACACACCTTATTAGCTCTTTCAATTTTGATTAATTTAAAAAAGGAAGTTTAATCCTTTTTAAATGCAGCAATCATTCGCTATTTGAATGTATTAGTTTTCTCTTCTGTTATTAAGCAGGTTTTAATATATTCGCTAGTTTATCTGTGACCTTTATATTCGTTAATCACTTTCGACTCTGTCTAGTATTTATCATTAACGTTTATGTTGGTGCGTTGGCGTTGTGATTATGCTAAAATACGTTAATCCTTTTTTTATACTTCGGTTTTTCAACTTTGCTATTATATATTGCGAAAAGTTTTTGATATATTTATATAAAGTTTTTTTTCCGTATTTATTGTTACTGAAGTATCAAAATAATATTTACTAGAATAAAAGAGATATATATTGATGATTAACAAGGAAATTGTTAAAGATAAAAATGTATTAGAAAAATATATCATAAATCATTGTATGTCCGTTCTATATTTATAAAAATTTCAAAACCCTAATAATTGGCAATGAAATTTGTATTATGTCCTTCAGTAAAGTTATGAATAAAAGATTGATGCGAATTCAGTACCTACTTTAGGTAGTCCGTAGACTAGGTGGTCATTTCAAGCTAATTAATGTAATATTACTTACCTATTTATAGATGTTGTTTATGTGATGTTGTTGCAATAAATATGAAAATAAATTTATTTATTTATATCTAAGGTCGAATTATTTTTGGGACAGGAGTATCATTCTGCATTGGAGGTATGTTCATGTTTGTCATGCCTTATTACTGTTTCGACAGAATTTGCCGTTGCTTAGTTACTATTTATTTCAAGTAAAGGAACAGCCTACACAGGCTTACTTAACTTTAGTTTTATTAAGTATAATATGCCGTTACTGTTCTACTACAAAAAATTTCAATTATATCCTAATATTTATATTTATATGGAGCTTACATCACGCCGAAATTATTTAATTGATTTAAACGTTCAGGCCAATGTATAACCTTCGGCTGTACATGAAACTTGTTCCATTGTCAGGTATTCGATGCTACGAGCACTTGCTTCATCGTCGAAGCAGCCAGCGTTATTACGCAGCCTCCATAAGCATTTACAAAACTCTATTATCATAGACGCATTTACATTTGTATTGCCCAATGAAATGTTTACTCTGTGGTCGGTGACTGACGTGTGGTTACACGTACGAGTAGTTACTTTCACGGCCCATATACACCACGACTTGTTATGATCCCCGATCGGGCAATTTCTCTTTCTCATTGGGACGCCGGGTTCCCGGAGCATTTTTTTTTCTTCGCAACTTATGTGGGTCGGCCGTAATGTTTGGTTTCTCTCTGGTTTTATGAGATTGCACGTTCCGAGACTGGATTACTGTTGTCTAGGGCATTATGACTGAGCTGGTTGAGTGGGTTTGATTAAACACTTCCAGTGGTATGCTTACTTTCGAGTCTTTAGCTCTACAAGTATTTCTATCGCTTTCCACTCACGTCCGTTAAGGACATATCAAGTTATTGCAAGGCTTAAGTAATGTGGGTGAGAAAATTAAAGCATGTTACTGTTGGGAAGTTTAAGTTTAGACTCGATTGTGGATTTGGAAAAGCTGCCCATAGAGCATAGGGATACGAGCTTGTTGTATTGCAACATTATTGTAAACAGTTGCCGATTGAACGTTTTACCACTTTCGAAATATCGGAATGAAATTAACAATTGAATTGCAATTGGAAATCACTGATTTTTAACCGACGTAAGAGGGATTTTATAATTTTGATTTGTATGTCTATGTCTTAACGAATGAACCGATTATGATGCGGTTTTTTTTGTTTGAAAGCTAATGTAAAGATGGTTCTGAGTTTAGGCGTTTGAATAAAAATATCAGCTCATCTTCTACTTGAACAGATTTATTTGAAATTATGCTAACCTTAAGCTGATGCTGTTGCATCAAAGCAAGCTCGCTTGCTATTTTCTTAAAAAATAACAACCGGCAAAATCTATCGCGTATCTATTACGTACGTTTGCAAATCGACGGAGGCTGTTCGTTAGTTCTCTAGTTGGTACAACGCGGATGCGCATGGCGAAGATTTATAACTCGGCCGGCGCGGGCGGTCGTAAATTAACGGGCGATGGGAAGAAAGGTCAGCGCTCAGCGAAGTGAGAGGCGCGGCCGCGGCTCTCTCAAGGCCGATTAGCGAGATACCACGGGTCTCGAGATCCGCTCCACCTGCGAGCTGGAATCGGTCGAAATCTGCTCCTTGTGCTAAACCAGTAATCGATTGTAATTGCGTCGCTATCGGAAACGCCATTGTTACGTAGATCTTGTAATGCAACGTGAACTTTGAATGTTCAATGCTATAAGAATAGTGTGCAGTAATTTTTGAAAGGATTCCATATCAGAGAATGCGCCGAAGAGCGCGAAGTGAAACGTTTAGTATGTCAGGATTAGACATTAGTAATTTAGATATTAGATTACTAAGAATTTGCTTAGATTTTGCAAATTCTTGTTATAAACTAAATCAGCTCTCTGCTACAAGCTCCAATCGGATCTCATCTGTTTTAACGGCATTCACATGTTATGTTGTATATAAATCTTGCTTTCGACAGAGCCCAAGATAAGACAGCTCACAGGAGTTTAATGTTTTTCCACCTTAACCTAATTTAACTCTTTTCCGTTACTTTGTTAGGATATACTTAAGCCTTATTAAATTTGCTCATGATTTTCAATTGGAGACGAGGGCCCGAGGCTACGTGTTTCAACGTAAAGACTAGGTACTTGTTTTCTTGCATTGCGATGGACCAAGAGTCAATGTAGCTTTAAAATTCGATGAGACAACATTTCTTTTTGTGTTGTTAAAGAAAACTCAAAATGGATTAAAATCCGTAAAATGTATTACGGACAAAACATCATGTGAACACAACGTGACTCTGTAAAACGTACTTATGAAATGTCAGGAAATAAAAGGAAAATAAGCCCGTTGAAATATTTTAACAAGCGATAAGGAAAAGCTAAAATTGCTTTGACCTTTTTCATGTTGCAACAAAGAAGGGAATCAATATGAATTTTCGCTTAATATAAGTTACCCAGTTTTTTGTGGTATCGATCTTGACAGCATTTCTTGGCTTCTAACTTAAGCCGATGATAATCCAAATATTATATACAAATACGACGTAAATATGAAAATAATCGCGGAAATTGAGGCATTCAAAATAAGGCAATTGGTGTGATTAGATAGTCGTATATTAACAGCGAGCGAATAAATAGGTCTGTCCCTGTATGCCATAATTACTAAAGTATAGTCTAAAATGCCGAGTTGTGTATTCAGAATGTGTAAAAACTATGGTTCAAAAATAAGAAAAGACAAAGGAGTTACATACCACACGTACAGTTTTACGTATAAATCATATAAAATTTATATTCTGTTACAAAAGTGATTAAATATCACTTTTGTCACAAATAAAGTAAATTGTTGTAAAACATCAAGTTTAGTTCGTGTTACACCTGAATATGTGTTCTGCATAATCGTTTTTTATTCAATAATTTATTCTCAAAGAGTTCGACACAAACTTTGCATTGGCCAACAGGTCAGATGACCTCAACACACAAGTGTTCAAAGGCCGGTCATTGGTCAGGGATTGTCTCCAGCTGCCTTTCGATAAATTGTGTTACCTGTAACGCGATAGCTTTAAGTTTATTGTGTCTTAGTTTAATATAGGTACTTAGAAACGTTCTGTTAATTTGAGCTGTTCACTTTCTCTTCTTTTTATGTAGAGAAAAACATTCGATCGCCATGACATAACTTTTATACAAGAAATTGCTTTTTATTTTGTTTAAAATACGTTCCGATCAAATCATGCCGGACATCTCTATTAATAGTCCTCATAGGCCTTTTTTAAAACGCCATAACTTCCATAATTATTCATGAAACTTTATGATTCTAACGCCATCCATTTGGTTTATAAAACTGAGGATTGCTGCTATTGACGAGATAAATAAAATAAAGTAAATGTTTTTATAAAAAAAATCTTATTAGTAAGGTTACTTTCACAATTCTATTTTATTGTTTTATTATATACTTAGGTGTGGTGTATGACCTTCGATGGGCGTCATCATTTCATGTTGCAAGTAATATGCGGTATACAGTTACGTTACGCTCTATTAATTGAAGGGCGATGAATGACACGTTCAAATACCGCAATACATTACGTGATTGAGCTATGTTTGTCACCATTTTTTTGTAAATTGCCCAAGTATCTAAATATTGTAAAAAACATAGGAATATGTGTATGATACATACACGTGTATGAATGCGTAACACGCAAATACACCCGTGTGTTCAATGAAAACTTAAAAAAAAAAAACAACTGAATCGCTTAAAAAATGTCTTAGTCACGTAGTTCATTCGAATGCAAGCTTAATGTTCCCAGTCGTTAGTAGAGAAATTGATATACCACCTCTGCCAGAAAACAGTTCGCATGGAAACCAACGCTAATGAGGTGGCAGGGGATGACTTTTACCGCGATACGCCGTAGGATAAGGCCTCGATAGACGAGACAAAAAGAGGAGTGACCAGCGATTGTGAACCGCGTTCACTTTACGCTGTGCTATCTGTTATTCTAGCGCTTGTCACATGTCGACGTGAGCCTCCGGGACGCCGCGGCTAGATAAGGCGGCAACGAGTCTGTCGGACGCCATTAATTGAGAATTTGTCTCGCGTAGCGCCAGCCCGTGTGGTTATTTGCAATTTGAGCGAACCCAAACGAACGAGCGCCGGGCCAGTCCGGTTTGGCAAGCGTTTTCGTGTTGGAAACCCGTTCGAAAAGCTTTTTTCGAAAGCCTCTTTGCAAATTTTCGAAATGCGGTATTAGTAATAATTATCCTGCACTCAATATAGCATGCTTCGTCGTTCAGTTTTCATAAAGTATATGAATGCAAATGAAATGCTTTATTAATTGAATTTGGAATTTTATAAATCTCGTGTTACCGAAAGTGTTTGTTCATACAAAACAAAATACAATTTAAAACTCTGATTAGTTTTACCGATCGAGTGTAGTTCAGTTAGTGTCAAGTACTAATAAAATGACAACACGATACACTTTACTTTCTGCCGCGTGATGGGTACTCAGGCGTAGAAAACAATAGCTTTAACTTCCCGCCGAATAAAAATAATCTTGAAGTGAATACTTGGGTCTAAAATAACAAAAATCATCTAAATGAACCAGAACCTAAAATTCTATTACACTTATTGAAATCATTTCGTGTTCAGACACAACCTCGCAATTTAATTACATCTATAGGTGAACGGCGTGCGCGTTTCGAAAATTCGCTGATTATTGAAGTTAATTTAATTTATAAAGGTTGTGTTTCGCAGCGGCCGGTGTGCGAATTTACCGGCTACTTATAACGTGGGTCCGTCTAGAGTCTAGAGGGCATGAATGAAAACGGCAAACGTTCCGGCCGCGCGTGGGCAGGTCCCGTCGTTAGATAAACCTGAAGGCACTCATTAATATCTCTCTTGCTAATGGTGCGTGGAATAACGAGGCTCGACCCGTTAACGATATTCCCGCAAAATTAATTCCAACTCCGCAAATTGAAACTATTCCAGCAGAGTAATTGTTTTCCAGACATTTTATTCTTAATAGGCTCATAATTACATTATTAACGCCTTGTTAAGATGTAGTGCGAAATTTAAGACTTTCCATACAGTTTATTCAATGCAGAAGAATTACACTTACTTATTGATGGTCAAAACGCTACCACCTGTTCGGAAAGAAAAGCCACTGACCTGAGAAGAACCGGCGAAAGAAACTCAACGGGACACTTATTTTTTTTAAACCATTATTTATCAAATACAGACATGTTTACATGTATTAAAGTCAACTTGAAAGAGCCTGGAGCGATCATTCCATTTCCAGGGTGTGTGACAGTCATCTACCATCGAGGAAAGTATACGGCAACGACGATTTATAAAAAAAATTACCTAATCCTTCAGTAATTTGTAAGCTTTTCCTCGTCTTCAGTCTCAAAGATTCATACAGTAAATCTATCATGATTTCGAATAAGGTATTTTACGAACAATGTTCAATACACGAATGAACATGTTGCATGGGCTTACAGTCTAACAATTCCATGACATATATTTCCAAGCGCTTTAAATATCTCATAAATATTGTGAATATCTTGAACGATACTGACGTGATTAATAAAAAAGACAAGCTACTCCTATTATAAGGTACTATTCCGTGAGTTTAAATCAAACTTCCAATGAATTTTCGCAAGCAACTTGCAGGGAGCAAACTAGAATGTTTACCCGCGTCCTTCTAACTATCTATTGCTCAACGTTAAATTAATATCATTTGGTAACAAGCAGCTTGTTCAACAGTGTTCAAGGAAACGAAAGTCAGTGAATGATTAGCCTTCGATCCATCATGTTTAGAAATTAATGATTAAAGCGACCGAAACAAAGCATTTAATTTATCTTTGTTACCCTAAATTATTGGCAGATCGATTAAAATAGGTGCATTAATTAATACAACTAGAATAGGCTTGTGAATTAATCATCTTGTAGGGTATACATTCTAAAGTTTGTATAGAAGTAATCTATGAGTTTTATTTTACTCCCGACGTCTCGAATACTTTACAGCAATCGTGGTCCTTCCACGAACTTTCCACCTGAACTTCCAAAAGTTCGGACTTTAATGTCCGAACTTTTGGAAGTTGAATGTTCACTAAAAGAGGCTTAGTCATCTTTTAAGTTTAAAACCGTAATTTTTAATGAAAAATTAATAATTTTATTAATCATCAAAAAGTCATTAACGGATTTTTTCTCCTTTAATTTTGATTTAGTTCCCGACATTTAGAACACTGCGGAGTCACGGAACAGAATGAGGTGTTGTACGTTTATGGTAGATAATCCGGGCTACCGTCAACTTTTTACTAATTATTTGAGCGAACCCAAATCGCATAAACTCAAGAAATAATAACCTTACTCATAATTTTTGTTAAGTGGCATTGAAGGTAAATCGTGTGAGAACAATCTTCATCAGTTTCATAAGATAGTAAATAAAGGAACATTTGTTTGAAAAGTGAGTTAAAAAATAAAAGTAAAAACCAGTAAAGAATAAGTGTAGCACTGAACTTTCATTCGAGTATTGAGATTTGAGAATAATTTTCAATTTGGCTGAAATAGTCACCGAAAAACAGACTTGATAAGATTTTTACTAGTAGTAGCACTGAATATTTTTTAATTTTTCCTTAATTTGCTTTCGAATGAGAAAATGTTAATGTTTTTATAAATACCGATATTAA